GGAGGTGACCAAGGCAAAGGAACGAGCTTCACATGCGTGGAGGAATCAGGTTTTGCCTTGTTGTTGCATGTTTTCAGAAGGGGGAGATGCTATTGTCACAGGAGAGAACATCATTACAGAGTTGATTCTAGGCTCCATCTGAAACACTGCTGGTTAGAGAACTCACTAACGAAAACCACATTCAGTGACAAAACTTCAAGTTATGTGAAAACAGGCTTTCCATATTGCAGAAACAAACTAATCATGGTTGTTCTTTTCTCTGAACCCAGCATTTATTACTCAAGAATTGATAGGAAGTCAGATAAGCCAAATGCAGTAAGTAGTTACAGTTGAAATCTCCTAATCGTTTTACTGTTGAAAACCTAGTTCTGGCATAATCCTATTCCACTCATACCTTTGGTTCCTCGTCATGATATTCTGGTATTTTCTGAAGCCAAACTTAAAAACAGGTTGTTGCCTCCCGCTCTGTGGAGCAACTTCCCATTGATCTTTCAAAATTGTGCCCTGATGTCACCATCTCTGGAAAAACATGATACACACAATGAGAAGTGCATCAGCTGTGGAGCTAGATGGGCCACAGTTCAAATTCCCATGTGACCACTTACTACGTGTATGATCTTAAGCAAGAAAATGGCTCTCAGAGCCTCAGTCTCCCCATCTGTAGAATGTGTGCACCACCACTCACCTCACAGAGTTTATTATAAGAATTCAACTACCAAATGAACACACACACACTACCCAGCACAAAGCTTGCCACTTAAAGCATCCTTAAAGCTTTCTCTCCTCCTTCCCTCCCTACCTCCAGTACAAGGCCACCTCTGTCAAACCTCCTATTAACCACTTTTGACTTCTGGATTGTGCCCAGGGTTTATATCTTAATGCTCTTGTAGCTGAAGGGCTGAGCACACTGCCAGAAATGCAGTGGGCCCAGCTACAACTGTTTGATAACAGATTCGTGTACCAGTAGAGCCACGCTGGTGCCTTCTCCACAAAGATGCACAGTGACAGAGGTGCACACTCTCTCCTCTAGGAGACCATATCTAGGTTGGGCTAGTAAAATAAGTGATTCTTCCAGTGGGGTTATTCATTGGAGGATGAGCTGGGGGTGGGAAGTCTTTTATCTCAAAACCTTTAAAAGAATATTTTTAATTGCCTTTCAGTCAGTTCCCACCTTCCCCC